TCCCGTCACGACAGGCCCTTGTAAAAAGTCCCCCCCCAGCTTCCTTGTAGCCTCTTCAGGTACTGGAAGGTGCACTAAGGTATCCCCGGAGCCTTCCCTTCTCCAGGCTGAACAAGCCCTATTCTCTCAGCCTTTCATCATAGGAGAGGTGCGCTGGTTGCACTGAACTGTGTGTGTGAGGGGTTTATAAGAGACAATTCTCCAAATGCATTCCAATCCCACAAACAAAAAGCTCAAGGTTTAAATACTTCCATAATCACTCTCAGATCTGGAGCTCAGCGAGCTGTGACTGTGATGTCAGATTCTGAGTTACAGGCTTCTGAATTGCATGACAAAGTTTGGAGTTGTGCTTAATGAGGGGGGCTGTGGGGTTAAACTCCTTAAAAATGTCTTTTGTGTGACCTCCATGTTCTAAAATGGAGCTCTGTAACTCCGGGACTAGAAAGGTGGGTGAAAAATACTGAGCGATTCAAGAGTCTTTACCTAAACATGTAGATTGGACTGAATAGTGAAAAGTAGGAGTCTCAAGGCCTGGACCTAGAGATCCATTCATCTGGGGTTGGTTTTTTTTTGGGGGGGTGGGGGGTGGGGAATGCAGTCTTTCCCAGCAGCAGCCAGAAAACACAACATGCAACTGCAGCCTGAATTGTTCCCAAGCATTGCCAAAGTAGAAACGTATCCAAAAGTGACCTTGGGGCTGACTCTTCTTTCGTCATGCCTGTCTTAATCTCTGGTTGGAGACCAGGGTGGAGGACTTGTGTAAGAATCATAGAATAGTTTGGGTTGGAAGGGCCCTTAAAGATCATCCAGTTCCAACCCCCCTGCCATGGGTTAGGGACACCTTCCCCAAGCCCAGATTGCTCCACACCTCATCCAGCCTGGCCTTGAACACTTCGAGGGATGGGGCATCCACAGCTTCTCTGGGCAACCTGTTCCAGAAAATCACCTGAAGCAGAAATCACCCTTTCAAAAAGTGATAACCATATTTCTTCTTGTAGGAATGGATTCCATGAGGAAACCACACTGAAGTCTAAGAGAGCGGCTGTTTCAGCCTGGAGTTTGTTGTAAAGACTCAGCTTATTTGTTTAAAAAAAAAAGTCGTCTCTCAAAAATGTCACCTTTTATACGTTTTACTTCAGTGAAGTACAGGATTCCTGAAAATACATTTGCACGCAAATTGTTGATGGTATGTACTGAAGCAATTCATTAAAAGTAATCCTCCAGTTCTCATTTGATAGCACCTCCACCTTGAAAAGGACCATTGTCTCCGTGCTGAACTTGAGAAGAGGCTTATATGCGTTACTCAAAAGAATTCACCTGAAAGAAAGGGCTGAAGCACCTTTGCTATGATGAAAGGCTGGGAGAGTTGTGGTGTGCAGCCTGGAGAAGAGAAGGCTCCGGGGAGACCTTATTGCAGCCTTCCTGTACCTGAAGGGGGCTACAGGGAAGCTGGGAGGAAACTTCTTGCAAGGGCCTGTAGTGACAGGACAAGGGGTAACGGGTACAAATTGAAAGCAGGGAGGTTTAGATTAGATATCAGGAAGGAATTCTTCCCGGAGAGGGTGGAGAGGCACTGGGACAGGTTGCCCAGAGAAGCTGTGGATGCCCCATCCCTGCGAGTGTCTGTTGCATTAAAAGTAGTAATTTGGCAGGAGATAAACCCCTTTGCTTTCCAGCTTATCCTCAGATACCAGAGGGGCTGGGGGCGGCTAGGTTTAAATCCTGAATAATGCATCCTTAATAATGCCCAACTTGACACTCTCAGTCCGGTATCTCAGATTCACTCAGCAGTGGGCTGTATTCCCGTCCAGCCACTATCTGTGAGAAACAGTGCGACTGGATACGTGAAACAGTGTCCATTTAAATTCTATTTAAAGCAACAGTACAGGTTCT